GGGTGGCAGGTTTGATCACCAGTAGGGGGCGTGCAGGAGGCAGCCGATCAATGATTTTCTCTCCCTGATGTTTCTATCTCTCTATCCCTCTTCCTTCCTCTCTGAAATCAATAAAAAAATATATATATTTTTTAAAAATATATTTTGATTTCTTACAGCATGCTTACAGCATGAGCTTTCTTATACATCTCCTCCATCATGTCTAGAATTACATTGTTCTTTATGTATTGAGAGAACTGTTTCTTCATCTTTTTCCATTAGATCACTCATACTCTGCAACGTTCTGACCCATGATATGTTTCCAATGTAGTTCTGCATTGAATTCCTTCCTTTTTTTTTTTTTTTTAATGTATCTTTATTGATTTCAGAGAGGAAGGTAGAGGGAGAGAGAGCTAGAAACCTCAAAGATGAAAGAGAATCATTGATCGGCTGCCTCTTGCACACCCCACAATGGGAATGGATCCGCAACCTGAGCATGTGCCCTGACTGGGAACCTTGACCTCCTGGTTCATAGGTCAACACTCAACCACTGAACAACACCAGCCAGGCAATTTCTTCCTTTCTGAATCATAACCAGGGAATTGTTTGGAACTGTGAGAGATAGATAAGCCTCCATCCACAGCTCTCTTCAGGGCCCCAAAAACTTTCTTTCCAGTAGTAGTTCTGGCAAGCCCTGCATCCAGGTAAAGGCACCAGGTTGACCATCAATGCTTTTCACATTGTGTTCATCTCCAGTCACCTCCACCTGCTTGTCCATGCCAAACCTATTGAGAAGCCTGTGGGCCAGCAGCAGGCCAGTGCAATATGCTGCAGCATAATTTGTGAGGCCAACCTTCACACCATACTTTGGGAGTTCTTGAGTATAAACTGCACAGATTATCATACCTCCTTCTATAAGGGAATAAACAGTCTGACAAATGATCTCTCTGTTAGTTACAGAAACTATCATCCTGTATTTAGGTGTGTTGTACTTATTTTTATCCTGGATCACCAAGCGTTTTGGGGAATAGTAATCAGTTTTACCCTCTCATTGTTTTCTGAATTTCACTTGGTATCTCTTGAAGTGGGCCTTATTTTTGACAAACCCTGTCCTGCAGAAGAGAGACCCATGTCCGCGGCTCGCCAAAGACCTGCAGGACTAGCACAGCTCCGGGGATGGAGGGGAGCTGGAGTTTTGATTCTAAAGTGCATGTTGCCTCTGAGAAAGATACTAGTGGATGTAGGTATCAGTACTTCTTGGTCTGAAGAACGGAGAGGGAGATAAAGAACAACTCAAGTCATTAGCAGAGTCAGTGTCTCTAAGCTGATGCCTGTTATCATCTACCATAGAATATACCTGCTGGAAAATGCCTTAAAACCTCTGTGCAATTCAGCCCCCACCCTGTGAGGGATCTTTCCTGCAGCCTTTTTGACAGAAGACTTTCTAGTCCTTGTTTGAACATACCCCAGGATAAGGAGGCTGCTTCCCACGTATCCTGTTCTATTGTGGGGTTGTCCAAACTGTTAGGATGTTCCACCTTCCACCGAACTTAAATTTATCTCTCTGACTTTCACATCTTGGTCCTAGTGGCATTCCTGAGTACAACCTAACAAGTCTGCTTCCTCTTCTCTATATTAAAAGCCTTTTAAATAGTATGTGCACTGAGTTACATGTCAAAAGAACTATTCTAGGACTTCAAGATTCTGGGTAATTTGTAACCAGTTTGAACAAGACAATCAGTAACGCTAGTCTCCTGCAGCTTCATAGAACATAGATTCTAACACTTGGATTTGTCAAAGCCCTTCATAAGACTTTCAGAACAGCACACAGTATACTGGACATAATTCTGACCACATTATATAATGGGATTATTTCCAAGATCTGTATGTTCTGCATCTTAGTGATGAACAAGATTTGGGCCTTGTAGCTCTGTAACTTATAGGAAATTGCCTATCTACAAGAAAATGTAATATTGATACTAATTTCTTGTGTGGCTATTTTATTTGATCCTGAAGACCCTATATAGCAGCTAGAATAAGTAGATATAAAGCATAGAGTTACCACTGAAACCTAATAAAAATCTCTCACATTTGTAGAGTGTCCTATAGTGTACAGTCCTTACACATATGACTTATTTGATCCTTATGGCAGCCCCATGAGGTGGGCAGGAGAAGAGAGATTACAAGTACCTGGGGAGAGGTCTGGATAAAAGGGTTTGGGTAAATATGGCCTCCCAAAAGAAGTTGGGTTAACCAGCTGTCCCTGCTCTCTTCTAGCACAACATGCCTTTCTGGAGGATCACAAACCATGGAGACCTAGTGTCCCTCCACCAGGCTTTGGAGCTTGATTTTCTCTAAGAACTGGAATGAAGAGCCTTCCCCATGAGCTGCTTTTCACTCCTGAAAGGAGCCGGAGACTGGAACCAACTGAGAACTCTCTCTCTTTCTCCATGGAATGCTGGCGAGAACACAATCAGAACCAACAGCTGCAAGGGATGAAGCTTATTTTTGCTAAGAGTGAGCTGCAGCCCCGTGTTCATTCTCATACAGAAGCAGGACAGTTGGATTGAGAGAACAATAGACTCACTGCAGCTACAGTGCTTTTAATTCTGTGTTTTTTGTTTTGTTTATTTTGTTTCAAAAAATGAAGAAGAAAAAACAAAAGGAAATTTTGGGGGCAGAGTTGCACTCTTTGTCCATGACCTGGTTGAGAACTGCTGTTAACTTGTGGTGATAGGATAAATGTGGCAGACTTTTGTAATAACATCTCTTGCAGTCTTTATAAACTCCTTAGCTGTAGAACATATTCCCAGTGAATGTATATGTAATTTTTATAGGTAAGGGTCTGGTCTCGGAAGCAGGTTTTCCCTCCTTTCTTTCCTAGCAAGAAAGGGATGTGTAAAGTTTCCTTGGAAAATAGTAATTGAAATATCTGAAATACCTCTCTGTGTGACAGTAGCACCTCTTTAGTTGCTCCAGTGGTCTGCTTTCTAGGATGGTTTCTCTCCTGTTCTTCCATCTCCTGGTTTGCTGAACTGTGGGGCAGTGGACACTGATTAACTTTAGACTCTGGTATTTCCCATCCTAGAAGCCTCAGTCCCCTTTCCAATCCCTCCTCCCCTTTAACCAAATGGCACAATCCTGGGAACTTCTTCTCTTAGACAGTAAATGCTAAGCCTCCAGCTTGACTCTGATTCAAAGACTTTGTCCAGGGGGCTTACCTCTAAACCGGAGAGAAGGAACAAGGCTTCTTGTGAATTTTCACTTCTTTGGTTCTTGAACCAGGACTGTTCCACCTTTTCCTCCTGCAGAGAGGCACTCCTCCCCCAACAGATGCTCACCCTACAGCCTTCCTTCCTTCCTAGTCCCCAGTGTAGGCTCCTGTCCCTTTCCTGCCCTGCATTCCTCACAGCCACCTCCGTGCAGCTCTGGCCAATCCCTGGGCTTTGGACCCAAGAAGTCAAATTAAGTCTAAGAACAGGCTCATAACTACATTTGGCCAAAACTACCAATGTAGTTGACTTTCTTTGAAGCCCTTAAGCCTAGGAAGGGTATTCTGGGTATATTTACCCAGATCTCTGTCTAGAACTGAAGAGATTGCTGTGATCAAAACCCCATTTTCCCATGGTACACCCTTCCCACTTCTCAAATCTCATTCTAAAGTGGAAAACCAGAAGCCAGAAATACTCCTGTTTTAGTTGTTGGGTCCCTACTCCATGCCTGGAAACTTAATCCTGGGCCAAATGCAGGGACATCTCCCAGCCTGGCCTCTGGGGAGATTGATGGGTGCCAGGCACTAGTCCCAGCCTTCTAGCCCAACTGTGCTTGTGGATGCTCCATCCCTCCAAGACCCACCTGGGCATCTGCTCAGGCAGGATAAACTTCCCTCGAGCTGAGGACCTTCAGCCTCTCCCAGGCTGCAGAGAGGTGTAGTCTGGAACTCAGTAGGACCAACCCCAGCTATACCTGCTTGACCCCAGAGAATCTGCATATTCGTTTCTAGAGATGTTGCAGCACAAAGAGGCCAGACTCCTCCCGAGTCCAGGTCGTTCATGTAGCAGAGAAAGGCCGTTCATACACATTCCTTCAGAACTGAATGAGAAACAACTCATGGCTCACAATTTTAGGGAACAGGTCTTTGGAGAGGAGCTGAAGTCAGTGCTCATTACTCAGCTGCTGCTTTGGCCTTGCTCTCATCGGTGGGGTGGAAGTAGGGGTTATGTAGTCTAAGGCAGACTTTCCCTTGGTCTGAGTTCAGCACAGTTGCCCAGATGCTGCTCTGCCTTGCTTGATAATTGATCTTAGAAAGCTCTAGGGTGGATCTTTTCTTCCAGGCCCCAAGCCCTCCACCTACCGGCCGTGTAACTTGGTTTCCTACCCTGGACATAGGCCACCTGGTTGGTGCTGTGTTTCAGGCTTGTGAGGCTGTGGAGTGGTACCCCCATCATAGACCCAGGTCCACACACAAACCCCTCCCTCTCCCTGCCCTTCGGGAGAAGCTCTTTATTCCTAGAATATGACGTGGACCCCTTTTCATTGGTCTTTTCCTGACTGCCCAGCTGAGGTCTTTGCAAAGGACCTTGAAATTGACCAAGAGAGGTGAGGAAGCTCAGCAGAGCAGTCTTTGCTCTTTTCTGGTTGTTGCCACTCATTTAGGGGGCAGGCAGGAAATGGGACCTGGCTTCCTCTTTGCCAAAATGAATTGTCCAGGGAACACAGTGCTCTTTTACCGTGTTTTTCTCCTCCCAGTACAAAGACCTGGAAAGGAAAGTAAGTGGGAGCACCAAGAGCTCTTAGAAGCTGAGGGCCCCAGGACACTAGGGGTCCTTTCGACGAGGGGGAAGCCCTCTTTACTAGAAAGAATCCCCGTGAGATTAGCCACATGATGAATCCTTTCCCCAGCTGGGGACTGGGTTCTATAAGATGGGTCTGCACATTTCGTGGTGAGGACTTTTCTAGTAAGGGATCCGGAGTTGTCAAGTGTGTCCTGGGTTTAAGAGGTGGCTTGACTCTCGAATGTAAAACTGACTGTGCCTTAGCATCACCCTGTCCAGTGCCCCTGGGGCAGCTGGTGGTGTCCAGGAGAATGGATTCCTGCTCCAGATTTAGATGCTTTTATTTGGTTTGGGGTGTTCCTATCTTCTGCTCTGCAAGTTGGGAGGGGCCAAAACTAGTGTCCCAGGAGACTTGTGCCACAGTTTGTTCGCAGTTTACACAAACTCAGCGCTAAAGCTCCCAAGTAGAATCTGACTGGCAAACCAGCTGCAGCATGTGGAGCTTTTAGATTTCCACTCCCTTGAATGGGTGTCAGTGCTGCTGAAGCGTAGGGAAGAGGAGGAGGGACAGAGCTGTTCTCCCACTTCCTGGGAGAGTGATGGTCTGAGCCAAGGGGTCATGAGCTTGGGGTGTTCCTCTCCTGCAGGAAGGGGCAAGCAGGGCCCCTGTAAGCAGCTTCTGTTTCTTACCACTAATTTGGTTTCCTTTTCATCCAAAAGTTGGAACTCCCCAGATCTACACCATAACAAGCCAAATCTGAATTCTGAGATTCTAAAATATCTTATATATATTATGTTCTTATTGATTTTTAGAGAGAGAAGGAGAGAGAAACATTGATCAATCAGCTGCCATCTGCACACCCCCTACTGGGGATCAAGCCCACAACCCAGGCCTGTGCCCTGACCAGGACCTCTTGGTGTACGAGAGGATGCTCAACCAACTGAGCCACACTGGCCAGGGCAAATTCTAAAATATCTTAAACCACAAGAGAGAAAATCTAGTTCAGCAGGCCTTCTGTTTCTCTCCTCTGAGTCAGACAGCTCTAGCAAGCAAGACTCATTGGCTAGTTCCTAATGCACTGACAGGAGCCATCCCATTAAGGGCGACTTCTCAAAGCCTGACCCTCTGGATTACAGATGCCTCATTTAGCAGTAAAAGGCATTGATTGAATTGGATATATTTATGTGACTGCGGGCATTCATGGCTGTAGAGTCTTTGACCATAATGTTATATGTAATGGGAACTATCTTGTAAACTTGAAAAAAAATAAAGTTTTTATTTTCTATACAGTTTGCTCCTATGTCTTTTCTGAATAGGATCAACACAGTTGCCCAGCTAGTTGGCACCTAAGTAAGGTTTTATAAAAATCTGAAGAGCTCATTATAAAAATCGAGTTCATTAAAAGATACCACCCTTTTAATAACTAATTAATTTCACCAAAAAGGTAGAAAAAAAATAACCAACCTTTTGGTATAAATAAATGAACATGGAGGAAAAATAATTTGCAAGGAAAAGTTTGTTTTAGCTGATCCTCACCCGAGGATATTTTTCCATTTATTTTTAGAGAGGGGGGCGGGGAGAGAGAGAGAGAGAAACATCCAGGTGAGAGAGACACCAACCAGGGCCAGGGATTGAACTTTAAACCCAGGCATATGCCCTTGACCAGAATCAAACCTGTAACCCTTTGGGGCGTGGGTCGGAGCTCTAATCACTAAACCAGGACAAATTAATTGTCTATAAAATATATTGAGCCCGGCTGGCGTGGCTCAGTTGTTGAGCATCAACCTGTGAACCAGGTGGTCAGGGTTTGATTCCCAGTCAGGGCACATGCCCGGGTTGCGGGCTCGATCCCCAGTAGGGGCATGCAGGAGGCGGCCAATCAATGATTCTCTCTCATCATTGACGTTTCTCTCTCCCTCTCCTTTCCTCTCTGAAATCAAATTTTATACACACACACACACACACACACACACACACACACACACACACTGAGTGGCCAGATTATTATGACCACCCCATCAGTATTTCGTTGGGCCATCTTTTGCCTTCAATACTGCGGCGATTCTTCTTGGCATTGACTCCACAAGATGTTGAAAGGTGATGCGAGGAATCTGACACCATGCCTGATGAATAGCACTGTCCCGTTCTGTGAGATTTGATGGTTGTGGAACCAGCTGCCTGATGGCTCTTTTAACTTCGTCCCACAAATGCTCAATTGGATTGAGATCTGGTGATTGTGGGGGCCACCTAAGCAAGGTAAAATCTCCCTCATGTTCTTGAAACCACTCCTGCACAATACGAGCACCGTGGCATGGCGCATTGTCTTGTTGGAAGAAGCCATCTCCATTGGGATACGCCATCAACATGATAGGATGAACTTGATCAGCAAC